GAAAGGTGTCCTCGGTAGAAGGGAAGTCCTACACATGGACATGACTCACGGAACGACAATAGGAAAAACAAAGAATGGGATCGTCTTAAACATTTTGTTCAAGAGAAAACCCGCATACTCCACAATGTCGTAACTGCTTTCGGGCGTCCAGTGCGACCCTTCTACAGTTACTAAATGTATTGCCGTTCCTGGTCATCATGGTCAATTACGCCATGACTTTGCCCCTCGCCTTGTCCGCAGCGGCTCGGCTCTGTCAAAGAGTGATTGGTCTAACGACGCTTACTCCAAGTTGTCTCTATCAGCATTCATACTCGCATAATAAAGAAACACAACACCACCTTTATACTCAGATAGTTTTACTTACTCTCAGCCCATCTGTCAAAACAGGACAGGATCAGACCGGTCAGACTCGTCACTAACTTGGGAAAACTTTCAACGATCGGGATTCGACTCGATCGATTGCAAACCGCGCTCTCCTCTCCTAATGTTAAAGTATCATTTTATAGTGTTCGGGCCTGGCCTGTCGTTGTCACATGTCACCATACCTCATTTTGATTCGTTAAAAGTTAGATCTGACCATGAACTCATGTGTGTCGTAATCGGAAAAATATAAAAGCCTACGTGCCGGATTGCTCATCTCTCTATTGATTTTGTGACTCGCTCCGAAGCTCCAAATGAAATATACCTTGTATCTCTCTGCTTGTTTCATTAACTAATGGACGATAACCTGGAACCAATCCAATGATAAATATGAAATGTCAAGAATACACTTGTGATAAATGGAAATGTCTTTTACCTATTGATTCCTTTCGAACTAAAAGTTCTCTGTCACAAACTATATCTAACGCCATTCCTCATTGCAGCTATAGCGGTTACCATTTTCTAATGTTTTTTAGATGCATTTTTAACCTTATAACATCCTCCGCTTGTGGACAAGAGCTGCCCACAGCTCGGAAGACATAAGCATGAGTTCAGGTCTGAGACGTAAAACACAATCACACTAAACACAATAGAAGTAAAACAGGATCGATCATTCCATATATTAAATCGTTACCAATTTCAATTTTTTTGTAAAGATCCGGAAAACAGCGAATACTCTAACAGTCAAAATGTATTTACATGGTAAAGAATAAGAGAAATAATCCTATGTTACTTCATGTAACCACAAAGCATAAATATCACGACATATTATTCAAATACAATGTAGAATTAATTAATAGCGATGCATAAATGTCAAATGTCACTGCACATGGCCACAATATGGCACCACCATCAACGAAAGTTCATTTGTCGCTGATCCCAATCGAATTCACTGGCTCCTTTCTAGTTTCGAAAAGTCAATTCGCGGAACGTTGTCCAACGTTCTTGAATCCTTAACCGAAAAGTTAATGTCTGAACACACTGCCTGTTCACACAGTCTGGACCTCGGCTGGGGTGACAAAGCGAGAGGTAGACTTTTCTTGACACTGCTTGAGCGTTGACCGGTCGCTGTCTAAAGATGCAGAGTTGCGTCCCTTGGGCACGCCAGAAACCTATGATTGTGGTTTCGAATCCCGGTTCGCCCCGATTATGATTCTAGGTTTGTCAGCACCATACCCGTGCTCGTGGGTTTCACCGAAGTGGTAAACGTCTGAGACCTGCATCACTTCGGGCTTTCCTCCCACATTAAGCTGACACGCCGTGATATAACTGGAATATTGTTAAAAGCGGCTTATACCATAAACGTGATTAGATAGAACACACTTAATGTGTATTCCGTTTAGGATTAAAACACATTTCCTAACATTGTCTTGTATGTGTTTACATTCCAACACATTTTTAAGTGCTTATGATATAGTCGGAATTGTACAATGAGCTCTGTTTGAACCTGACAGGCCGTGATATAACTGAAATAATGTTCAATGCGGCGTTTCATTCACATAATATCATATCATCGTACAAACAGGGGTGGTGGGGTAGCCTAGCGGTTAAAGCGTTCGCTCGTCACGCCGAAGGCCGGGGATCGATTCCCCATATGGGTACAGTGTGTGAAGCACATTTCTGGTGTCCCACTCCGTGATATTGCTGTGAAATTGCTAAAAGCGGCGTAAAACCATACTCACTCACTTACTCACTCATTCACTCACTCGCTCATACGAACACCCCAGCAATTAACACGAATTATAATACTTTCATATATTTCAAGACATCGCTGGAGAATAGAAGAACAATGTAGAAGTTTCGCTTTTGAATGCTATCCATAATATACCTTACACTCAATATTATCTGCCTACTACATTCTCCATTGCAAATATCATCACAAAACTTAATTTCAATCCAAAAGGGCTTGGAATAAGAGGCCTACGTATTTTCGGTCATATCGCTGTCCTTGAAGAAAAGGGTTTTCAAAAAAGAAATGTCCGCATTGAAACGTTATCGTCAGGAAATTCAGTCGGTTTAACGTAAGTATCTACATTTCAATATTTTACGGACGCTTGTTCTCTGAGGTATGATATTTATTTCACCGTGACAGTGTTTCCTTCTGAGTACACCAGAAAGTGAAAAATTACGAAAGCCTAATGATGCCCCTTTGATAGTATTAAATATATATTTTAAAAATCGAAACTTCGATTATTTTCTCGTTGTTTTAAGATTTGTTTCAAAAACTCGAAATTTCGAGTTTTTTCTCGTTATTTCGATTATTTTCTCGAAATTTCGAGTTTTGTAAATAAACTTGAAATAACGAGAAAATATTCGGGGTAACGATAAAAAACCTCTTTATTTCGAGAAAATAACTGAAATAACGATAATGTAATCGAAGTAACGTAAAAGAACTCGAAATTTTGAGAAATTGACTGAAATAACGAGAAATTTCGATTTCAATAATTTTTATATATTATTTAAATATATACAAATATGAATATGCTACTAAATTGGAACCTTCAGGTTTTCGTAGACAATTGAGTGATTGGAGGGTGTTACGAGCAAAGCAGGTCATGCTACCCTTTTTGCGAACATACTCCTGAGAGTTTCTTGGGCTACGGTCCTGTCCCCACTGAAGTACATGTAGCACATGTAGTGTCTCCATAGGCAAGTGGCCTTGTTCGAAGCATGCCTCTCTTCACCAACCTGTGAATGAGTTCCCGTATGGATGAAATGGTAATGTGAGTGTTCTAACGCCCCACAGGCAGCTTGGGTTGTACACTCCACAGGGAGCTGAGAATTAAAACGAGTGCACACTGATGCAGTGACCGGAGTGGTAATAGTGTAGCGCTTTGAGTGAGTGAGTATGGTTTTACGCCGCTTTAAGCAATATTCCAGCAATATCACGGCGGGGTACACCAGAAATGGGCTTCACACATTGTACCCATGTCGGGAATCCAACCCGGATCTTCGGCGTGACGAGCGAACGCTTTAACCACTAGGCTACCCGACCGCCCCTGTAGCGCTTTGAGCATGCCCCTGTGTGGGGTGGAAATACAGCGCAATATAAAGCGAATGGGACTTCTCCCTGGGAACTCGTCACGATATGGCTGAAATATTGCCGATGTGACGTAAAGCATTAACTCACTCACTCACTCTCCCTGGGAACGCTGCCATGTCAAACCCACCGTGAACTTGACTCCCACCGTGACTCCCCAAAGTTGCAGCCTTATGCGTTACACAGTTTGTTTCCTGGCAGCAAACCCGGGTACTCTCCCAGATTGGGAGGCGTAATGTGTTTTTTTTCATTTAAAGGCTCTTTATTTTTTCAACTGTTAATCCAGTTCACATGGAGACCCACAGGTATTGCTATTGCCTTTTCAGGCATCTGAAACCAAAAGTCCATGAAATGCTCACACGTTGACAAAGCATTGTGGCCTTAATGCATATTCTGTCGCACACACGCACGCACACATACACACACATACAGATACACACACAGACACATGCACACACACACCAGTGCTAGTGGTCTATGGTGAGTCCCAATGGTCCCAAATATGGTGGCCTAACTTTGGTTGCGAGTGGTCTATAGCCCACTTTTATTTGGTAGATATGATGTTATAGAATATGTTGTATGATATAACAAGTTGTGATATGGTAAAATATAAATTATGAAATTACAGGGTATGGTTTTGTACTGTATGTGTGAAATTATGTGACTGTGTTGAAATGCGATGTGGAATGACGTGAGGTGATTTGGTGAGATATGTACATAAATTGTATAAAATTGTATATTCTTCAAATTGTACTGTAGGCCTGTGGCCTCTTCAGTACGTGACATAAAGATTGCACAGACGTGGACTATCCACATCTGACACATCAGTGACAAAAATGATGCATGATGCAATTCCCAAAGTGGCTTATACCACATGTCCCCGTCTTTATACAGGTGAACAACTGACTTGCCTTTGCATGTGTTTGTGATGGTGGGGCAGGCTACGCTCACCTTTTCGCAAACATCTGGTATCATCACTGTTTGATAGTGATTTATGAACACGTGCTTATGATGTGTCGAAATCGTACATTCGACCCTGCTTTTAGCACAGACTTATTGTGAATGTGTAAAGGGTTTTGTCGGGTTTTTCTTCTTCAAGAGTGTTTAGGAAGGTTTGTTTCTTAATATCTGAACAGCAGACTTTTAAACCAAGCTTTTTTTCTAAGATGTAGGTAATAATTATTCATACACATGGTAAAAGATTGATCTTGGATCATTTTCTTGCAAATAATTTGATCTTTTCTTAAACAGCTCTTTTCGCCCATTTCAGCCACCGTTATCACTTCATCGTGAGAGTGAAAACCTTGCTTGCATAAGAAAACAAGAAAGGCTAGTTGTCAGGCGTATGAACATGTCCTACAATTTCCACAATCTTTCCGTTTTCCAATTGGTCACAGGAGGCCCTTCTCACACACCCCTTTATGAACATATTCTCAGTGAATACCCCATATATTATCGATCAAATGTATATTTGCCCTAATACCCCTGAACCACAATGATGGGTGTACCGAACTACATATAGAACAACACGACACTATGCGATCTGCAAATGTTTATTTAATGATGTCCATTAAACAGACTAGGTCTTGATTCTCAGTGAAGATCCTTGTGGGCTGCCATGCTCGATTAGACACCTGAAAGAAACCATGCAAATTTTGATGAATGATGTTTTCAGGACAATCAACATTGATAAAAGTCTAGCATAAAGCTATCATCCGTAATTATATAATTTACAAATAAATAAATAATTATCAGCAATAGGCATATATGTTAATCATTCCTTGCTAGGTTGGCGGAAGTGCGACTCCTTACTGGTAAGACTCGGCTTCAACTATGATCTAATGGTCACAGTGTGTGACCTTTCTGGTTTTCTGTCACGGTGTCAACGGCATGGACATTTGCTCATGCAATCAACCACTGGTTTACCTATCTCTGACTCAGGTATTGACAGACCACCCTGACATACCTGGACTATTGATGTGATGACGGTCACGTAAAAACAACACACAGTCACTCTTTGGGGATATTTCTTGGGGAAATGTGCGTCTGTGAAAACTTAATATAAAGCTGTAATCGTTTTGTTTCTGCCGAGGAGGACATATCTGTCTGCTCAAAGTACTCCATAGGCTGAGAACAAGCTTGACCTTCTCCAACCTCGATATACTGCGCACCTTAGTCAACTGACCTTTCAACAACTGGGATTATTGATAGTTTTACCCATACACACAGATTTATGTTAAATGAGACATTGTATTCCTGAAAATATAGCTACCGAGTTTGAGTCTCTCCTCCTCGACATCTTCTTTGATTTTTTTCTCAAGGTCATGCTTCACCTCTGGAATATAGAAGAATGTTCTTGAAGGACTATAACAGTTTGCCCCCGTATCAAGGGTGTTATAACTTTAAGTTGGAAAAAAACCCTCTATGAGAATTATTAAGAGAACCATGCTACGTGGCACATGAGTTGTGGTTGAATGCGCAGTAAAGAATGCTGGTTACATGTGATCACGTTGGCTAGTAGGTGGATAGCTGATTTCAGTTTCTAAGGCTTCGCTCCTGCCCCACGTTGAATTACAGGTTGTAAAACGTCTCCTTGGTTATGTGACTGACTTTGTTTGAAATATGCCTTTACTTACCCAACAGGGAACTCGCTAGGATGAGCAGGGAGTCTAAATACAAAGTTTCTTAGCACCTAAAAGCAGCTTGAGTAGAATATGATTACATACTATCCACTGAACGAGTATGCATCGTGGCGCACCATAATTGTAAATCGAATGCTTTCAGCAGAGCTTTCTTATGAATATGGAAAGGAACAATATTTAACTATTTTGGACCATATTCAACATGCCACCTGTCTCTAGTGATTAAAGTATTGGCTCGTGACGCCCGGGTTCTACTCTCCACTTCAGTGTAAACCGCCTCCGTGGTCGCGTGGAGATACCAAAAGACAATAAAAGATATTTGTACGCGTTTTTATCCTGCTTGGCGTTCGGCATTAAGGGATAAAAGATGGACTGGTCGGCTCGGAGTTGTTACCCTGCTTTGCGTCAGCATGAAGGGAATAAAACATGGACTGGTCGGCTCGGAGTTGTTACCCTGCTTGGCGTCAGCATGAAGGGGGTAAAACATGGACTGGTCGGCTCGGATATGTTACCCTGCTTTGCGTCAGCATGAAGTGGATGAAACAAGGATTGGTGTCTGATAGAAGTACACGTTAAGCTGCGGCATGGTATTTCAGTGGGCTATCACTATAAAACCGGCATAAGTATTGATTAGTACAAGCAGCCACACACACGTGCATGCACGTCCTTATATAAGTTAATCACCACTTCACCTCACCTCACTACTTCGGTATAATGAGTGAATCCCCAAACCGGTGTCCTCTATGCCGAAGCAATCATAATAACAATGTAATCCTACCTTCCTTTTGTTCTGGTGTAAGATCGACGTCTCTCATCGCCTCCTCGTTCATCGCCTCTCCGGTCATCTCAGCATACCTTTTCTTGCCTATATAGAAAACAAAATTACAATATCTTTGTGTTTAGTTGTGCTCAAAACATTGCTTACACATAAAATATTCCGAAGTCAATCTTATGAAAACGATTTTACGACGAAATGTTTATGCTAGTACTGGTTTTCGTTGCTTTTTATTGTATCAAAGTGAGACGTTGTCGTTGTATGATTATGATGTCGTTGTATAATTAGGGTATTCATCACCCGATCGATATAAATGATACAGGCAAACAAACAATATTTGAAATGACTTTGCTAGGATTGCAAACTGACCTTGGCCATCGTAAACTTGTGCAAGGACATTTAGATGACGACAGCAATGTGAAACATGTGTGAAGATTACATTGTATTACCTACATTACACACTGGAAACATCTTACACACAACATCCCCAACGTTCTTGTTTTAAGTTTTAGAGATAAAGCAACATCTTGCCAAAAAAATCGAACACATTGTTGAACAGGAGAGAAACAAATTCGGTAACTATTAGTACCGTAATCGACGTAAAAGGCGCCCCGCTCTAATAACCGCCCACGGCGATATTTACTTATATACTGGCTAGTGAACAATATCACTTAGCACCCCTTCCGATTGATCAATGTACACAACACTTATTTATTCGCGTATAATACGTACTCGTGTGTTATATGCACCCTTAACTATGGACAATTAAATTCTGGAAAAATGCATCTCTCGTATATAAACATTTCAGGCTGTCAGCATAAACAACGAAATTTATCTTTCAACTCTGTTTTTTTTCACCAAAATAATACTCTAATAAGAGCCCCCTATTTCTAATTTTGAGAGCACCCTGGGCGCTAATTACGGTATTATGTTTCATCTTATTCTGAATCTGACTATTCATTCTTCTCCACATATTTTAATTTCAGCTTCACAGTCTTATTAATTTTAGTTCTTGCCAATTTAATGTAGAAACGTAAGAAAACATCTGTCATCATTGGAAGATCAAAACCATTCGGTTAGATTACGCCTTTGCCAAGAAATATATTAAATTTAAAATTTGAAATGGATAGTACATACCGTTACGAAACTGGAGGACAATAACGTATTGAATAGTGTACAAAGTCTTGTATCTAAGCAACTTCAAGATGAAGGTAAACATGTATCAGATCCTTGGCTGCGGGGAATACTATTCGTATGACAACTCAGAATGCATCCATTAAGTGTTTAGTAAAATCTGACAATGCCTGAATAGTCATTCGCATGAACCTGTTAACTGAAAGCTCCTAATTATTTATACTTATTATCTGTTACGTCAAAGTAGAACTGATAGTCGGCATGATGCATTTTGTATTCCTGATACAGTTAACTACGGTTATAACGAACTCAAAGGGACTACTAATTTTAGTTCGTTATAACCGTAGTTCGTTATAAGTTCATATACAGCTTGAATACAGCAAGTAGTCGGGACCAGCAAGTAGTTCGTTATATTCGTCAGTTCGTTATAAGCGTGTTCGGTATAACCGTAGTTTACTTTAATTGATTAATTTTTGCAATATCCCGAGTCATTATTATTATTTCCTTCAGGTTTATAATCGGCAACCGTCCTGTGGAAAGCGAATTGATAGGTGTAACCTCTAATCTTGTATGTAATTAATATCTGCAGATAAAGTACCGTGTTTTTTTGTGTACGAGCGGTAATAAGATAAGACACGCAATTCCTTACAGTTCGATTTGAACAATAAGTAAGTTGATTAAATTCTTTATACACTAGAATATGATGTTGGACGACCATAAGGAGTGAGTGAGAGTGAGTGAGTGAGTGAGTGAGTTGGGTTTAACGTCTGTTTAAACAGCACTCCAGTTACATCACGGCGTGTCAGCTTAATGTGTGAGGAAAGCTTACCACTTCGGCGTCATGAATGGCAAGTTAGTGTACTGTTCGGCAGCCTGCTTTGAATAGGGTACATTTCCGTCCACCTGTACCATCGGTACGTTTCTGTAATACCCAACTCAACAATACCCACTTCATCGACACTAAATGTAAAGACGCTTAATTCAGTTTCTATTCTTTATCAAACGTCTCTAAGCGTCGTCTAAGACGCCGCGAGTCGTTTAACAGAATTGCATCCCTTCGGCGTTTCAAAAACTTAGGATCTTTGGTTAGAATAGATTCTCAGTGGAGAATGAATTAATCCTACCTAGCGTGAAGAAAATATCTGAAGTAACTGGTATTCCTAGGCGCGGCGTAAGGCAACAAACAAAATACTGGGATTCGATGAAATGCATCAACCAAGTCAGCGAGCCTGACCACCCGATCCCGTTAGACGCCTTTCACGACAAGCATAGTCACCTTTTACGGCAAGCATGTGTTGCTGAAGACCTATTCTACCCAGGAACCTTCACGGGTCTAATTTGTTTTAAGATATGCTGAATTTTCTTTCAGTTTGAGTGAGTGAGTGAGTGAGTGAGTGAAAATGGTTTTACGCCGCTTTTAGCAATATTCCAGCAATATCACGGCGGGGGACACCAGAAATGGGCTTCACACATAGTACCCATGTCGGGAATCGAACCCGGGTCTTCGGTGTGACGAGCGAACGCTTTAACCACTAGGCTACCTGACCGCCCCTAATCGCATCTGAACCAGACAACCCAGTGTGAAGGATTTTAAGCAATGACCAACTCTGTCGGGGTACGATGACAAGCAATCAACCAGGTCAACGAGTCTGACAAGCGTTGGTTGCTGGGGCCTTTTCTATCCCGAATACCCACGGAGGAATGCTTAATTAATCAATAACAAAGGCGTGATGTTTTTTTTTTTTAAATCTGCAGATTTTTTTATTGCTTGCTATATTGATCAGTTAATTCCGTTCGCAAGGAGAATCACGCGGATTGCGGTTGTCTTTTCAGATACCTGAAACAAATAGATCAAGATATGCACAAACGGTGACATAGCAATATATTTACAGGTGGCCTTTAGGATTCTGCCGTTCAAAAGAATGACTATATGAGTCGTGCTGTCAGAACATATTACTTTGAAAACCAAAAACCAGCTTCCGAAGAAAGAATGTTTAGATGACGACACCCAAGGGTGTATGTTACTTGCGATGGCACAACATGGATTATAGACAAGGGTTGGCATGTGTTAACTGTGAAGTAGGATATCAGTAATATCGGTAAGTCTTAATACCGAATTTTTGCCGCTCCTTCTTGACAACATCTTTGATTTTGCTTGTCAGATCTTTCGTTAACACTGTAATAAAAACAAAATGAGTGAATCTAATGTAACGCCTCCCTGGGCAGTATTTCAGTTTTGTCACAGTTTCTCAGCTTAATATGTATATTTATAGTTATTGTTTAACGCTGCGCTGAGCAATATTCCAGCTATATAACGGCGGTCTGTAAATAATCGATGACATGCATCAACCAAGTCAGCGAGCCTGACCACCCGATTCCGTTAGTTGCCTCATACGACAAGCATAGTCGCCTATTACGGCAAGCATGCTCTGCTTAAGAAATATTCTCTACCCAGATCTTCACGGGTATTGCGTCAATACAGAAGAAGCCGAAACAGTGATGACTGTGTGGCATATATTACAGAGCCAGCAAAGGGCTCCACGCGAATAGTAGTGGATTTGAATTGAAAATTAAGATACGGGAAACAACAATAATTGTTGGTTGGTTGTTTAACGCCGCACTCAGCAATATTCCAGCTATATGACGGCGGTCTGTAAATAGTATGGACCAGACAACCCAGTGATTGATATCATGAGCATCAATCCACGCATTTGAGATCGATGACATGCATCAACCAAGTCAGCGAGCCTGACCACCCGATCCCGTTAGTCGCCTTTTACGACAAGCATAGTCACCTTTTACGGCAAGCATGGGTTGCTGAAGACCTATTCTACCCCGGAATCTTCACGGGTCAACAACAATTGTATTGTGATTGCTGCTTAATTAGTAACAACTGCCAGAAGGTTAGTAAACTATGGACTACTAGTACAAGGGACATTGTCGCCCTTTTAGATTAATGGTGCGCATGCGTAGTTAGTGAATTATTCTACGCATGCGCCGAAATGGTTAAACACCTTTTCAAACTCCACTGGTCTTTTGTTAGTGCCAATGTTTCTAAAACCAAAGTAGCAAAGGAAATGTGGTTTGCTTTTCTCCAAATGAAAACAAATCGTAAATCGTTGCTTTAGAAATGAGTTCATATAACGTTATTGTCTGTGTCGGCTTTCATAAACCAAACGTTTTTTCACAGCAAAAAATAAACTCTTTGCATTTCTATTTAATTTATGAATCTATTAAACTATGATCGCGTGTTTGAATCCCAGCACATACATCACTAAGGGATTTCCTCCTACATCAAACTGACACGCTGTGAAATAACTGAATGTTTGATATACTCCCCTTGGATATGAGAATGATTGGGGTAATGCTGTGCTTTGAGCTTGATATTCAGCATGGAATTCTCTCAGTAAAATTAAAGGACAGAATTTGTATTTAGATTCAAAACATAACATAATTTTTTTAAACTTCGAGAGAATTATGTTATGTTTTGAATCTAAATACAAATTCTGTGACTTGCGAATTCGGAATGGCAGAAGTTGAATATTTTCTCAGGCCCCTTTGAATTTGTCAAGATATCCCCAGTATACTATGCATTAGAAAATGGCACCAATGACTTTAAAGAAGCAAGCATGGTCAGTTTTGTCCTACCTTGTTCCTCTTCAGGGGTGAGATTGACATCCCTCTCATCCAACAAAGCCTCGTCGTCTATATCAGGCAGAGCTCTCTTCTTGCCTGCCGAGTAAACACGACATTGACAAAATTACTTTTATAATGAAGTGTATCTAAAGAAGAATTTCGACTTGACGCATAGCTAAACGTTTCAACGATTAGACACCAGGTTCCGAGTGCTCTGACCTATTTGAAAACATTCAGTGAACCTAAACACATAAAATGATCAAACAGCATTGTTTTGATAACCCTAAGATGTTTTACGCTTAACTGTGGGAACACTGCATGATGCACGTGAAATATGGAACGTGCATCATGATGTGATTTAATT